GTAGTCTCAAGGAGGATGTTATGATCAATCAACTGAGTATTATAATTTGAGATATAATTGTTGTTATATATGAAAACCAAGCTTTTATGACCTCTATATCAGTAACAGTCTCGTTTCACTGTATAGAAGTGGTTTGACCTCGTTTTCGCTATTTGATCATGTTGTAAAGATAACCTAGTTGGACGCACCTCGTCCAAACTCCTTGGTATAGTAGTTATGCTCATTCCCTTCGTCGGACCATGGACTTGTACATTCCCAGAAACTGCCAGATCCTAATTTTTTTCCACTTCTTTTAATTGCAATAGTCTTAACAAATGATAAATGACTACTTCTGAAAGCATAGCATAATTCCTACACTTATTATAATTTCTATATAATTATAGATATCATTTATGAAACTTTTAATCCATATCTTCATCGTCTCCGCCAAAATAAACGGAAGACATGCTGTACACTGCTTTTTTATGCTCATTGCCTTCTTTTTTCTTGCCAGAGGTTGTTCGCACTCGTCTTCGGGAGGAGTCTAGTCGCTACCACGGTTTCCTCCGTACTCTACGCACTGTCTTTCGTGAAGAGGGCTTTATAGGACTCTATCGCGGCCTCTCGGCTCACTACTTGCGACAGGTGCCAAATCATTGTATCATGATCGGCACCTACGAGGGCGTCGTTTTCCTTCTACAGTCTTGGGGACTTACACGTCAGTAGTCGCGACAACCCATACTGAGTCGCCACCACCATTTGCCCAAATTATTAACTTTCCATGCCCACTACTACTTCTCTCTGAGCTGGCCTGCTTCACAATACGCCTACCTGTCTTTTCCTCCAGTTCCCTTCGTCAATCTAGTCTGGTCCTTCTTTATTTTGTGCGTTCAGATAGGCTTAAATTGTTAACATAAGCGTAAACAGCTCAGATTTGTCCTTAACTTTGACTAGCGTGTGGTTCTTTTATGAACTTATCGTATATAGTCTAGTTACGGTCTTATTATCTTCCTTGGCGCCTTAATTCCTCTCATCTATTCAATTTCGAATCGGGCTTCGCCGAACTTGTGCTACTGCTAATTTGTGTCATACAAATATCTGTAATTGATCCTCTTCAATGCATTTGCCGCCGTTTGTCCATTTATTATTTTTCACTTTGTCCACTTCATCTCCCTTGTCTCCTTCATAATCCTACACTTTTTTGATAAATCTCAATTACCGGCGCTTGAATGTTGAGGACACAGGGGCAAGGGGATATCTGCCTTTTTACTTGTTGCTTTGGAATTCGAAAGAATTAATTTATACTCAGCAATTTTATCTAGGTTATTTCTTCGCTCCTTTTTATTTTTTCTATTTTTCTATTGATTTCCAATAAACTCTTCTCTACTGCTGCTGTTATCGTAGAAAGTTTGAAAAATTTTCCGGCTTGCCTTGGTGCACTATGCCTTATGTGTCACAGAACCTCCAAATTTTGCTATGTTTTAACTCATTCATGATCTTCAGAACAGATTCCTGACAGATATCTCTATATAACTGGACTCAGGTGTGTTGAGATACCTCTGATGCCATTACAGTTCTAAATTATACATCCTATTTGTGTATAAATGCATTGTTCTTTTATATAAGCATTCTAGGTCTTAGCTCCTCTTCTCTCTAATGGCATCCCGAGGCTTCTGTTGGTGGGACATATTCGCATTTTGCTTCTTAGTATAATGTTTTTTCCAGTAAACTGAATGCCCTCTTCTCTCTGCCATCTGCTTCTCACCATAATTAACGTCACTGACT